TTTTAATTATGTGTCAGGGCCTGGGCTTCTTTGGATTCTTCTTGCTTGGGACTCTCTGTGCCTCCTGAACTTCTGTGACTTTTTCCTTCACCATGTTAGAGAAGTTTTCTGCCATTATTTCATCAAACAGGTTTTCTATCCCTTGCTCACTTTCTTCACCTTATTTTACCCCTATGATGTGAATATTGTTACATTCATGTTGTCCCACAGCTCCCTTAAACTGTCCTTTTGTTTTTTAATTGTTTTTCCTTTTTGCTTCTCTGATTAAGTGCTTTTTCTGCCTTGTCTTCTAACTCATTTATCCCATCCTCAGTTTCCCCTAAACTTCTGTTTATTCCTTCCAATGTATTTTTTATTTCTGCTATGTCATTCTAAATTTCTTTCTTAATTTCCATATCTTTTCTCATGCTGTTGAGCAGCCTTACAATCATTATTCTGAACTCTGTATTTGATAGATTGTTTATTTCTTCTGGAGAATTCTCTTGTTCTTTCTCTTGGAGCTTGTTTTTGTATCCCCATTTTGGTTGCCTGTTTGGATTTGTTTCTAGGTATTAGATAGACCTACTATGACTCCCAGTCTTTTTGGAGGGTCTCTGGTGTGGGCCAATGTTAGGTGCTATTTGTGACTGGCCCTGGGTATCCTGTTTGGAGCTATCAGCCATCCACAGCTTGTGGTTCCCTCTGCTAGGTCTGGGTGCATTTGGAAAGGACTGAGATGTGCACCAAGGTCTGCTTTTCCAAGCTCCCGGTCTAGAAGCAGATCAGGCAAAGACTGACAGCACTCAGAGGTCCACCTCTGTTTGCAGGTTGATTGTTAATCTGAGTCTTTTAATGAGCCTCAGACTATAGACCACTGCATGTTGTCAACTCCACAAGATAGATTGAGAGATTTTCCAATGGGTGGGGCAATTGCTTCCCCCCCCCGCAGACAAAGGCTTCCTGGATGGTAAAGATTTGCCTGAGAAATATGTACTCTGCAGTATGGGAGAATGACTCAGCACAGGAGTTCAGATGGCCAGGCTCCAAGTTCTATCCCCAGAGGCAACACACCTGGATTTTCCTCACACAGCTCTAGTCCACTCTGACATCCCTCTACCAGAGCCCAAGGTGAGTGGCTGCACACGAAATTTTGTGTGTTGGCCATTTTAGAGGGTGCCTGCATTACTAAACATCTCTCCATGGCAGACAGAAACCCTTTTGCTTTTCACAGCCAGTTGTTATGTGGGTACCTTTCTCAGTTCCTGTGCTCTGGGCTGGGGACCCAAGCTTGGGGTTTTGACCCCAGAGTCCTTAGTGGAAACCCCCCCAACAGATGAAATATCCCTCCAGACTTTCAGCTGCTGCCTGTGGGAGCCCAGCCAGCCATCTCGTGCCTCTGAACTTCCTACCAGTCTCTATGTGGACTCCACTTTTCCTTCTTGGTTATGAGGGTGCTCTCAAGCTAGTCTTCAGTTGCAGTTGATTATTCAGGATGTTTTTTCTATATTTTATTTGTAATTCCAGTTTGGTCCTGGGAGAGTGTCAGTGTAGTTTCCAGTTAATCTGCTGCCATCTTGGAATCTCTAGGAAACTTATTTTTTTACAATTATTTTCATTATCTTTCTGGCAACCTGTGTGGGATTGGGACATAGTTCCTCATTTTACTTGGTTTCAAGGTAAATTAATACTCTGCTTCTTGTAAGAGGATAACTTTGACAAGCTAACATAAATTGATTTGTATGGCACACAAAAGTTTATTAAACAATGTCAACCTAATAAATTTTAAAAAATGAAAAAAACAAAAAACAACCAAAATTAGAATTAACCTATTCTATGGAATGTTTGTGATAATTACTTTGAAATAATTATTTGTTTAAAAAAAAAAAAAAAAAAGCTGTATTGATAATTGTAACCAAAAGTAGCAACTATGTAAAAAATTTGTTTATGCTTCTCAGTCTACTCTGGAAGATTGTATCTGGGTTTAAAATCATCCTAACAAATGTGAGATTGAGAAAATGATTTCTAAAGAAGGTAGTATAATTTTTTCTTGTCCTTTGTGCATGTGAATTCTTTATTTTTAAATTGTGCAAATAATACATGAATACATGGTCCTTGTAGAATACTTCAATCTATATAGAAATATAGCTAGTAAAATGTAAAATTACCCATTTATCTTCTACCTGCCACCCCGCTCCCAGAGGAAACTGCTATTAACAGTTTGGTTTATATCCTTTTCCACAAACATGATTACATATATTACATCAATTAAAAGAGACAAGTCAGTGATAGCAGGTAACCTAAGCACAGTCTTTGAAGTCAGGCTGCCTGGGTTCAAACCCAGACTCTATACCACTTACAGCTGTGTGATATTGTACATCTTCTTTAACTTCTCTGCACCTCAGTTTTCTCATATGTAAAATGGTGATTATAATATCTGTTTCATAGAGATGCTATGAAGATTATATTAGTACATGTGAAATATTTAGAAACATTCCTGGCACATAGTACATGCTCAATACATGATGCAATCATACTGTATATCTTGTGTGCAACTCACATTCCATCAGTTCACATGGTGGCAATACAGTGTAGTGATTAAGAGCATGGGTTCTGAATGCAATTGCTTGGTGTGTATCCTAGTTGCAGCATTTAATAGCTTTGTGACCTTCAACAAGTATAGAACCTTTTTCTGTCTTTGTTTCTTTTGTTAAATGGAGACAATAGCTTCTGTTTTTTCTCTTTTATTGAATTATGTGTTTAGTAGTAATTACTTAATAGATACTTATTATTATTCCATTATTCAAAGTCCTTAGTTTTGTATTTAATGGAATAGACGTATCATATTTTATCTAACCATTATCTTGTTGATGACTTTATTTTAAATTATTCATTATGAGAAAATATGCTGTTTTTTTTTTTACTTAAAAATTTTAAAATAACCTTGTCTTTGTCTTTGCTTAAAAGAAGAAAATGATGGTTGTTAACATTTCCCACTGTAATTTTCATTTGCATCTTGAATAAATACTTTCAAGATCCTCTTTTGGTATGTGATCATCATCACCATACCATATATGTGATCGGCCCACATCATTTTCCTGTTAGTTTAGTTCAGTCCTAGGGCATGAATGGAAAACAGAACATTACATTTTGTGTGGCTGAAGTTATCTTTCTGAGATATAAACCAAAAGCTGAGAAACAAAGAAGCCAAAAGGTATTTTTCCTGTGTTTGAAGTGTTGGAAACTCAGAAGACAGAATCTTTAGGTATCTTGATATTAGGAAAAGGTAAATCTAAATTCTTACATATTTTGAGTTGTATTGTTTGATTTTCTTCCAAAAAACTTTTAAATATGAATAAATAAGTTTCCTGGGAACACTTATAGTAGACTCTATAGACCTATAAAAGGAAAATTGTGTCTTGAATCAAGTCTGCTTTTTCTTTTCTCACCCTTATATATTTTATAGGAAAAATTGAGATTCTTAAAGTTGTATGCAAACCATGCAAAAGACTGAATGAGTGCTTTGAGAAATAAGATTTAAGCAAAAAAGAAAAGAATGGTAATGGAATATTATTTTACTATAAAAAGGAATGAAATACTATACATGCTATAACATGGTTAAATTTTGAAAATATTTTGTATGATTTTATTTATATGAAATGTCTAAAATAAGCAAATGTATATAGACTGAAAATAGATTACTGGTTACCAGGGTTTAGGGATGGGAGTGAGGGAGATGCAGAGTGAGTGCTTAATGGGAATAAGTTTTCTTTTTAGGGTGATGAAAATGTTCTGAAATTAGATGATGTCTTTGGTTGTAAAACTGTAAAATCCTACAACCAAGTGAATTTATTCATTAATAAGGTGAAATTTATAGTATGTAAATTATATCTCAATAAAATATTATTTTACAAAGAGAAAAAGAAAAGAATGGAAGGAATGAAGGGAGAAAGGAAGGAAGGAAAGATGGGAGGAAGGGATGGAGGAGAGGAGAGAGAGAAAGAGAGAGAAGGAGAGAGAGAAAAGAAGAAGGAAGGAAGGAAAGAAAAAGACAAAAGAAAAAAAAAACAATGGTAGTGATTTTAACAAAACTATTTGTATTTATTTATTTATTATTTTAACTGTTTTTTAATTGTACAGTTCAGCAGCATTAAGTGCTTTTGCATTGTTGTGCAACCATCACCATGGTTCCAGAAATTTTTCATGTTGCAAAACTGAAAATCTGTGTCCGTTAAACACCAACTTCCTATTCCCCCTCTCCCCAGCCCCGACAATCTCTTTTCCTCTTTCTATCTCTATGAATTACTATTTCAATTTAGATTATTGAAAAAGTATGTCTCTACATTTATAGGTTAAATATGAAAGTACTCATGAGTAGAAACTATGTATAAATATTCATTCCTTGTACACATTCTAAGGCATAGTAATTTTTTCAATGTGTGGCTCAAATGACATTAATTAAAACATAGTTAAATTAAGACTGACTTTTTGAAAGCAGGCTTGATTTTAAATAAACTATTTGAAGAGGTAAAGGGGGTAAAATGGAAAACATCTGCAATAGTGTCAACATTAAAAATTATTACAAAAAATGAAAAGGTTAAGTGCTTTAATAACTTTAAAATAAATCATTTTTGACAGCTGAATGTATATACATGTAAAATTAAACATGTGTATAAGTTTGTACTTTTTAAAGCACTTGCTTGTGCATGATATAATATCCTGACAATCATTTTGTGAAGAAAGCAGGGGAGTGTTATTACCATTTAATTGATAGGAAAGTTGAGACTGAGGAACAGGAAATAAATTACCTGATATTAAAATGTTAATGGCTGAATTGGAACCCAAGTCTCCTTACTCCTGGTCCTATTCTCTATCCTCTGAGTAATACTGCCTCCCTAAGTCACTTGCATTTCATGTAGAAGATAAATCTTAATTTGACATTTTAATATATGTTGCCTTAATGAGTTCTTTTATAATTGCAGGAATATACTGTATTCTTCAGCTTAGAAATCTTGCCTAATAAAATGCTTGGAGAAGCCTTCTTAATTGAACTCCTATACAAAGAACAGAAATATGCAAGATTTTGTAAATCACTTACATGTAAGAAGACCTCAAATGATGAAAAGGAAACTTGGAAAAAGCAACTTTTAGATATAGAAGACAATTCACTTTCCCCTGATAAAATAGAAAATCAACAAAAGGTTGAGAAAGAAAGTTTAGCAAAGCAAATTAATGATGCAAATAAAATAAAATCTGCAGATGAAATAACTGTACCAAAATGCAAAAGCGCACTCATTCCAGGAAATGTGTCTTTTGCATTACCCACTCCAAAAAGAGAACAGTGTGATGAAAGACAACTGGATTTATACCGATCTTGGTCATTTACAAGTATTTGCCAGAATTATCCTGACCTACAGATTGGAGGAGAACATATGGGCAACATTTATGATTCAAGCTGCTTTGTGGAACACATACTTGATGATGCTTTTAACAGTCCCCTTTTACTTTCAGTAGATATACCATTGGGCCATTCTTCTATCATTGAGCCTCTGGAGAAACTACCTGCTTCAAAACTTTTGAATGGGGATGAAATTCGAGAAAAAAGTATATTGTTTCATAAGCAGCCCCTCTCTAATTCTATGCTTAATAATTATATGGAAAAAAAGGTGGATGAACTCTACCAACAATTTTTGGAAGAAAATCTCACTAAGTGCCTTTCCATAACCAATCTTATGGATTCCAATTTGTTAATGAACAATGTAAATCAGATTAGCCTTCAAATCTCTGAAGAGCAGAACATAAAGGCATCGAAAACCTGGGAAGCTCTCTTACATTCTTTCTCACGATGTAATCTCTGTAACATTTCCCATGGAAATAGTTCTGAATTCAGCACTCCTAACCTACAAATATCAAACCAGAGAAGTAGGGGATTTGTATCACATCTACTATAAAAACCATTATAGGTTCGTTGGATTTACTTAAAAGGCTGGAATAACAATAGTTTTCTCTGGTTTATTATGTCACATCAGGCTTCCTTTGGGATATGGTTATTACATTTTTTGAGAAATTATTTGGCTTGGGCCGGGTAGCTCAGTTGGTTACAGTGTCATCCCCATATACCAAGGAACTGGGTTCAATTCCCTGTCAGGGCACATACAATAATCAACCAATGAATGTATACATAAGTGGAACAAATCTCTCTCTCTCTCTCTCTCTCTCTCTCTCTCCTTCCCTGCCTTCCTCTCTCTCTCTCTCAAATCAATAAATAGAAAAAAGAAATTATTTTACCAATGGTACATCTCTATTCTTTTAGTAGGCAATTTTAATAATTAAGTTGTATGACCATGTTTTCTAATTATTTTGACATCTTTAGTGGTTGCCACATTCATGTTTGTAAATTCTCTATGGCTTATTTATTTAAGTGCCACTCACACCCCAAGTTGATTACCTCACTCTCACTCATCAGCTTTACTTACCACAACAGTGATACAAAACTTAGATGAGGAGAGGATTATTGCTTTCAGCTATTGAAAAGACAACTAGAAATGATATCATACAGAAACATTTATTTCTCCACAAAAATGTTTTAAAGACTTATGAGTTATGCTAAAACATTCTTTCTTTTATTTTCAGCATCTATACAGATTTTTTGACACTTACAAAATAGCCTAAAGGAAATTGCTTAAACTAAAGTTGGATTTAAATGATATTGGAAAAATAAGGAAGAAGGGCTTAAGGAAAATATAGAATTTGACATTGAAATTTGCAATTGAAACCTTGTGCTTTCTAACTTTCTTGGTACATGCATCAACTTTTTTATATCGTTATGTTATGCATCGTGGTTTTAAGGGATGAGAAGAAGGAAAACATACAGGCAAAGAGGACAGAGTACACAGAGAACCACCATCTAGAAGTGAAGAAGCTCTCTTGGCAACTTTTGACATTTCTCAAATTATACTCAATCAAGATCCTGGTTAAGGATAAAAGTCAGCTGGATGTTATGATGATTTTGGAACCTAAATTAAGTAAATTAACAGAACATACCTGAAAGAATGATATGTTTTATTGCAGACTTGGAAACAAAACTCTACACTTAACAACTTACACTTCTAAATATAGTAAAATGATTGGCATGCACTTTTGCTTGTAAAATAAAATTGTATGTATTTGTTATAGAATTATTATGGTTACATTATATATTAATAAGATTTGTACATCAGTGTTGACATATTCCCCTCCAATTATCTTTTTGCCCTTTGATTAAATTTTATAGAATAAGCTAATCCAATGCCCTCACAACTTGTTCCTTTTGATCACAAAATCCTTAGTTTATTTTCATCCTCTTTACATTTCTATGGCCTAATAATAAGTATTCCTGATTTATCTTCTGTTTTTATTTTAATCACTCTTCTCTTTCCATAACCCTGCCAATTAATATTCATCATTCAGACATTTAATTCTGAAGAGAGAATAGTTAAAGGTTTTGGAAAAATTGAATTAGTGTCTTGTAGATGCTGAAAAACTATTGTGTATACATTGTCTTATATATTGCTAAATTCGTACATTTTAATAGGAGTTACTAAAATGATAAAGTATTTATGTTATTCTTTATCTTTTCTAACATGAATTAAATGTTGTTGGGCAACATTATTGGTGTGAAATTTTCTTAGATACAGTGATATGTATTAATAGCTCATAAAGCAGATATATTTATAAATATTAAGACTACATAGTATTATGTAAAAGGCCACAGTATTTAGCTAGTATCAAATTTAGAAATGCATTTAATTTTATGCTTAGATTTCAATTTTTCTCTCTTGTTTATGTAATCAAAGTGCTTATTATCTAAATATACTCACTTTCTAAAATGGCTTAAGAATTCAATGCAATATTTAAATAAAGATGATACATTTGATATTATTTTTATTTTGATCTCATGTTTGAATGAAATATGCATATGAGATTGTGGTTTAGCATATTTTGACCTTAAGTACTCACTCTTCATTCTGTCTTTCGTCATTGGTTTCAGTTATATAACCATAATGTTTCCTTGTAAAATGTTATTTGAAATGTGTGGAATGATGAATTTATTTCTATGTCATTTTTTCAGAATTTAAAAGTATCAGTTTTGTATTTCTATAAAAATTGGAGAATGTTCATGATTCAGCAGTTGGGAAGTATAATCCCATTTCTGAACAGCGAAGAAGTCGAAGAGGTTAAGAATGTTTGCACAATACAGTCTTGCTTCCTACTTGTATAAATCACTTTAATTTATATCTCATCTTTGGAGTTCAGGTCACTATTGTAAGGCCCAGAGCAGGAGTGACCCAATCTCAGGTAATTTTCTGTCAGGAGTGATCTTGAATCATTGAAACTAATTCAAGGGATAGAGTCTATACTGCACTTTTGGAATTTTTAGCTTTTATCTAAAAATTCTCATGAATTAGTCTCCAAAAGTAGCCAGTTTCCCTGAGGTTCTTAATAACCAAGGTAACACTAAGGTGTTCCATCCAAGGTTGTAAGCAGACTTCTGGCCCTTACCTTTAACATTTGGTTCTTATTAAAACTGGTTTTTGGAAGGGGAGAAAACAAAATAAAAAGCTATCTAGGGATATTTTCCCACATACTATTTACTTATTTGTGAAGCTGCTTTGAGGGCAGTAGAGTAGATGTATATATACATACATATATGTTTATAGTTAAATAAAGTGAATTTAACTTCAGGTAATCTGAATAATATAGCATTACTAAATAATACGTTTTTGGATGAAGGATGGAAGGGTAGCTTGGTGAGGATTAGTATGTGCAATAAATTGTACAGCTAAGTGGACAATTGTTTTCAGTCAATACAGGAAGAAAATGCATCAACAAATCAATAACAATAGATATTTATTAAATCACATGAAAACTAATTTAATATTTTTATGACTTGTCATTTGCATGAAGAACTAGCCAAACAGTTATGTATGTGTGAAAATCCATGCTGAATAAAATTATATTTGAAAGCAAAAATAAAGAATTGATGGCATCCTGGCAGGGTGTGGCTCAGCAATTGAGCATTGGCCTAGGATCCAGGAGATCATGGTTCAATTACTGGTCAGAGCACGTGCCTGGGTTGCCGGGCACAATTCTCAGTAGGGGGCATGCAAGAGGCAGCCGATCAATGATGTTTCTATCTCTCTTTCTCCTTCTCCCTTCTTCTCTCTGAAATCAATAAAGATATATTTTTTTAAAAAAGAAAGAAATTATGGCAAAAAATGTTCTCATAATATTAAAATAAAGATAACTGTTTTTTGGGAAAATGCTTATTGGAAATTTGGGACTTTTCACGTTGTCATGTTCTTTTCCTCAAGGTCTAGTAAAAATTTATAAAAAAGGTTTTTATTATTTCCTGTTGGTTTCATATTTATTATAGTGTAAATGTATAGCATCATTTGTCACAATTTTGATAGGCTTTAAATAATAATATTTAAGAACATATATATAAAATGATGAAAATCAAATTACAGTATATTCACATCAATTACAAATACTAAATTATTGTTATAGGCATCTAATTCTTTGAATTCTTCTGCTATTTCTTTTTAAAGATGAGAAATTTGTAGCTTACAGATTTGCAATGTAGTTCCGGTTTTTACTTCCCAAAATGAATAGAAGCACTTTACCATGAGACCTAAATTGTCATAAGATCTTGGTTTTATCTGACAGTGACTGAAATTCATAGGTAAGCTATTTCCTGAAATTTATTTCTCTCTACAATTATAAACTGGACCCATATTGCCAAATAGAATTTGAATAGAATTGAAAGGTTTAAGGAACAGCTCAGGGTTCTGATGATTTGTGTGGTTCTGCCCCACTATTTTTTTAAAAATATTTTTTTAAAAATATTTTTTTATTGATTTCAATGAGAGGAAAAAAGAATAGAGAGATAGAAACATCAATGATGAGAGAGAATCATCCATCAGCTGCCTCCTGCATGCCACTTACTGGGCATCTAGCCTGCAACCCGGGCATGTGCCCTGACCGGAAATCGAACCATAACCTCCTGATTCATGGGTCAACGCTCAACCACTAAGCCTTGCCGGCTGGGCTCCCTCTCTCCTTTAAGGGTTCAACTCCACTTTAGAGACACCATTTAATTGTAGAGTACCCTTGTATTCTTTTCCTTAGGTGAGACTTAAGAATTGACATCTAAGGGTTCAAGTGATATGGGACCAGCTGGAACCTGGAGCAGACCTTCAAAGCCAATTCAAGATCAGAATGAATTTTCACAGCTTTCTATCCTCTAGATAGATGTATCCTCAGGGCACTCCAAGTACTAGGACAAACTGACTGGTTACTTATTCATTAAACAAATATTTATTGAGCACTGTGATAGGCAATAGAGATAAATGGTGAACTAAATTGATGCAATAACTGCTTTTCATGAGATTATATTCCAGCTGATTTAGAATCAAAGAGCAAAAGTAAATCATCACAATCTAATTTTAGAGCCATGAAAGTTATGAGCATGTAACTCTAGATAACCTATGTTGATAGTTCTGCCTGCTTGGCCTGTTCATAATCTAGTCCGAATTTTGTATCCAGGACTGTTATTTGGTTGCCATTCCAGCATGCCTCTACTGATTATTAAACAAGTTGAACTATTTCCATGCCAATTGGTATGAAGCTGCTACTCCCGACCTTCCAAGTCTTCCTGCCATGGCTATCCTGACCATTCTGATTCCTTCCTTGGGATCCTTGTATCTTCTATGATCCAGCAACTGAACAGACAAGGGACCTTTAGTATCCAGCTGCAATCCTACCTGTGGCATTTCTTATTCATATGAGTTGTTAAATATTTTGACTGTCACTTCTGCTTGTATCCTCTTCAATATTGAGATTCTGATCCCAAAAACCTGCCAAATAAAACTATTATTCTTAGACTTGGGACCTGCTTTTCTTATAGCTC